ATCAGACAGGGCAGGATATGACAAAATAATAATTTATAAGTTATCAAGGGCTCATGAGGGAGGTGGGAGCGGGAAGGGAGGGGGGAAATGAGGACCTAATGCCAGGGGCTTAAGTGGAGAGGAAATGTTTTGAGAATGATGAGGGCAATGAGTGTATAAATGTGTTCTACACAATTGATGTGTGTATGGATTGTGATAAGAGTTGTCTGAGCCCCTAATAAAATTATTTTTTTTTTAAAGATTACAGCTTTGACTATCCTGGGAGGCTGTTCTACTCTAAGGTGACCAGATTTTAACATTGGTAAAGTGGGACACCATTGATGAAACTCATATCCTGGCGAAATAGCCACATGGCAGCCAAAAACAGTATACCCTAACTTATCGTGCATTCTTTCCAAAAATCAGGACTGTCCCACCAAAAGCGGGACGTCTGGTCACCTTGTTCTACTCTGTCCTATAGAATAAGTCTCTGTGAGGCCATATGGACTCCACCGCAATGAGTGTTAACGCTCATGAACCTCCTCAGTAGTGGGGTTCTTCTACTGAGCATTCTTATGGGTACAAGTAACCCTCACACACTTGGACCAGTTGCAGAGGCTGGAAAGAAAATTGCCTTTCAGTCTATACTGGGTAGAGTAACTACATAGTACAGACTCTGTATAGAAGTGACAGTTGAGCAGGACAGCATTAAATATGATAAATGAGGCCCAGTGCCCTTTGACCGCTACCCTTCAATCCCAGTGCTCTCCAAGAGGGAGGCACAATGTCACCACATTTGTGCGTCCTCTTCTGCACTTTTGGTTACATGTTTATGTTATTATAAGTGGGCCCACTGCATATACGAGGTCTTGTTTTATGTGTGAAATCACTTGATAGTAATTAGGGAACCTGGGCTTTCCTTTCTCGATAGTCTAAAAATGGTTCCAGGTTGGTCAATGCAGCTCTACCTCATAATTTTTTTAATTTCCCATCCTGTTCTATGGCATAGATGCATCACATTATTTAAGGATCCCTGGTGGTGCACCGCTTAAGTGCGTGGCAGCTAATTGAAAGGTAGGTGGTTCAAACCCACCCAGCAACTCTGTGAAAGCCCTGGAGACTTGTTCCCATAAAGATGGCAGCCTAGAATACTTGGGGGAGCAGTTCGACTCTGTCCCACGGGGTCTGTAGGAGGTGAACTTGGCTTGACAACACCCCACAACAGCATGGTTCATGCAGCCATTCTCTTAGTGTTTCCTTTTGTTGTTACACTGCAATGAACAACCTGGCGCCTAAGATTGGCTGGTTCTCAATACAGGAGTATTTTTAATTTTAGTAGTAATTTTAGTAGTTGCCTCAATACTTTATATTCTTATCCTGAGTCTGAAAGTATCCATTGCCCTATACTCAGCAAACCACATTATATTATTAAACTATTATTAATTTTTGCTGATCTCATGAGTATAAAGGGGTATTTTTTTATCAGGATGCATTTCTCTGGATATAGTTAATATGGACATTTTCCCTGTTCATTGGCCATGTATATTTCCTTTTCTGTTCTTATTCTTTGCCCTTTTAAAATTGCACATCACAGATTTTTTAATTCTCCATATGTCCTATATGTCTTTTATCTATTCTCACTTCTGAAAATACTCCTTCCAATTTCTGCGTGCTTTCTCTCCCTCCCACCCCCAGCTCCTCCAGGCTCTGTTTGATTTCACTTTGTTTCTGGTGTCTTTTGCCTCACAAACGCTTTCTAAAATTTGATGCGCTCCAATTTCCTTTTGGATTTTGACCTTTAAAATAAAAATCTTACTTAAAATTCTCAATCACCAAGAAAGAATTATATCTTGTGCATTATCTTTTAATATTTTATAGACTTCCCCCCAACTCTTTAAAGAGTTTTAATCTACCTGAATTTATCTTTGTGAATAATGTAAAATAGAAATCTCCTTTTTTCCAAATGGATTGTGGACTTTTCATGCATTATATATGATAAAATGTAAACTTTTCCATTGATTTAAAATGCCACCTTTTCATATACTGAATTTCCAGATCCCAAACCTACTGCTGGGCATAGATTCCAACTCAAAGCAGCCTGTAGGGCTGAGGAGAGCTGCCTGCGGTGTTCCTAGGACATGACTTAAATTTTTCTGGAAGCACACTGCCTCAGATTTCTCCTATAGGGAAGCTAGTGGGTTCAAACTATTATCCCTTTGGCTGGCAGCCTAATGCTCAACCACTACATTCCCAGGGCTCCTATTTCTATATCTACATGATTATATTAATCTATTTGTCTTTTAGTCTTTTACTGTGTCACCACTACATTGTGTCCATTTTTTAAATGTTTAATTTAGTGTCTTTTTTTTTCCCTTTCAGAAAGCCTCCTTTTGAACAATTATATTGTTTGACGCAAAACAGAAAAAATGACATCATTAGAAATGATTGTTTGTAAGTTTGGATTGGGTGTTTGGGTTCTTTCTTCATATGAGATCACAGAACATTTTAGAATGGATCTGAGGTATATGACCAATAAGAGGACGTAAAGTGAGAACTTTAGAGTAACCACAGTGTTCTCTTGTTATTCCCCAGAGATCATTAGTACCAGAATCGATGATCAAACATAAAACCAGTAACAACAACAACAACAACAAAAACCCACTAATAGTTTTTGGCATTTAAATAAGGGAAGAAAAAATAATAAACATAACAAAGTCATGCTAGAAAGGTTAAACAAGTCATCTTGATCAGTTTCCCTGCCTTTGACCTACTAATTCAAGAATATCCATTGCATTCTTTTAAAAGTCCATCAACAATTTCACAATGGCTGTCAAGAAAATCTGTTTACCTGATTTTTATGAGAGCAGTTTGTTGTTACCTTATGAAAATAGCTCTTAAAGTGCTCCCTAAGTCTTCTCATTTTTAATAAAGAATAAAGCAAAAATGTAGGATTGACTCAGAGCAACCCAAAGGAAAATGTAAAAATGGAACGATGATGGCAACAAGTGTGAAAACGTACTCGACACGATGGCTGTATGGGTTGTGATAAGAGTTGTACGAGTCCCCAATAACATGATTTTAAAAAGAAAAAAAAGAAAAAGTCAAAATGCCCAATAGCGTTTTCAACCCTGTGAATCTTTGCAGATTGCCACGTCTTTCTCCCTTGGAATGGCTAGTGGGTTCAGACTACTGACCTACAGTTGGCAGCCAAGTACTTAACCACTGTGCCACCAGGGATGTTTGGATAAAGAATAACTAACTAACAAAAAACCCATTGCCGTCAAGTCGGTTCTGACTCATAGCCACTCATATTCTGAGGATTTCCAAGACTGTAACTTTTTATGAAGGGAGACTCCTCTTTCTTCCACTGAGTGGCTGGTATGGCTGAAGTCATGGTTAGTAGTCCAGCACTTACTGGACAGTGCCACCCGGACCTGAATTAGGAGTCTCTAGGGCTCACTGTTGAGTCCATTCTGCCTCAGGGGACCCTGGAGGACAGAGTAGAACTGTCCCTCTGGGTGGCTGGGGCCACAAATCTTTACTGTGCTCTCTTGTGCAAAGGAACTAGTGGTTTTGAACTATGGACATTGTCGTTATCAACCACCAGGGAGCCTTTAAATAAGGAATGCTGGCTGTTAACTTATACTTCGCTTATTCCAGGGGTGTTGTTTTCTGGTATGTGTACGTTCACCCACTGTCAATGAGTAGATTCCCACTTACACACATTGAAATGAGAAAGATGATCTGTCTCCTCCCAAAGAGATTTACAGCTTTGGAAATCCTTTCTGCTCCCATAAACTTTTCGTTGAAATAGAATGTCATATGTATTAAAAGTAAAATTTTAATTTGACGATATTGATGTAACAATGAACAGATCACTTCTTTACCTATTAGAATTATTATCCATTGCCATTGAGTCGATTGTAACTGATTGTAGTGAAGCTGTAGAGAGGGTAGACTTGCCCCTATAGGAGAGCCCGGGTTTAAATCTTTACCGACGCAGACTGCCACGTCTTTGTCGCGAGGAGCACCTGGAGGGTCTGAAATGCTCACCTTCTTTGTCTTTAGCCAGTTTTTAAGGTGGGCAGCTGTGTGCAGATGGTATGTGTCGGAATGCTAACTGCTCCCAGGAGAAAGAGGAGTTCCTGTTTGGAAACCCACTGAGGCAGTTGTACCCTGTCCTAGTCACTGTGAGTTGGATTTGCTTCATTGGCAATGAATTTGGTTTTGAGTCCTATGCATAGCCCACTATGCCTCCTAACTTCCTATTAAAATTGTTCCAACTCTCCCAAATCACTGCCATTGTAGGACAGGGCAGGATGCCCCTCTGGGTTTCTGAGGCTGTAACTCCTTACGGAAGTAAAAACTCCATCTTTCTCACGAGAAATGGCTGGTGGTGTCTAACTGCTGACCTTGCGGTTATCCGCTCAACAGGTAACCTCTACCCAGAGCTTCCATTAGGATTGTTCCAGAAGCAAACATTTTGTTAAGAATCTGTTAATAGGAAAGGCGTTATGCGGAGTTGAGCCACTAGAGGGAACCAAAGAGACATGGAATTTGTTAGAACCCCGGATGGTGGGGCAGTGGTTAAATAAAGCCTTGAGCCACTATCAGAAAGGTCGGTCCTTGAGCCCCCCAGCAGTTTCATGGGGAAAAGATATGGCAGTTTGAGATTAGTGACATTTTCAAAACAGACGGGGCATGGCAGTAAACCGATGAACTGGCCAGATTAAAGAGGTGTGCTCTTATTTTCATTTTATCCTTGCAAATTTTGAGGGGTTTTATATGTTTGCTTTATGTTTAAAGTCCCCCTCCCTTTCTTGTCAAATCTATTTTAAGCATATAATCAACACGACAGCTAAATTTGTCACTTGTGAACAATTTTAGATGCCAATTTAATACTTTATATATAGTAGCCAATCTAGTAACTCTAGATCTCTTGAGTTGCTATATTCATCTCCTCCCCAACCCCCAACTCATCCAGAAATATAGCAGGAAGACAAGCATGCTTTTCCAGTGCCGAGCCTACCAACTCAGAGTCTGCAGACGGAGATAACCCTTTCATGGTTTGGGCGAATTGAGTCTTCATAATACACTATGGGACAATACAGTTCTATAGCGTATGTTCCCCTTTCTGGAGAATGCCCTGTCGCTCGAAGGAACATATAACAAAACTAGACAGTACATTCAATTTCAGTGACATGTACTATCAAACTGATGACACCTTATTCCGCTTTCATGCCAAAAATCTCAGAATCATACTTTCTTCCAGGGGCTGGAAGGAATCACTAAAATCCACTGCAATCGGGTGGTTCTTCCTCTCTGGATGGCCTTTGTTCCAGGGCTGCCCTCTGATTCCTTGACCCCAAGGCTCGGAACGGCACAGAAATGCAGTGGTTCAGAAAAAGCAAGCTTCCAAGAACTTGGAGAGTTCTGTGCCAGCCTCTCTGTTGACTGGCAACATGCTAACCATGGGCGATCAGCAATCTGGGCAAAGGGAGAAAGCACATGCAGTACTTACATATCCTCGCCAACCAGGTCACACTTGGGTCAGTTCAGGTTGCATGATTGCATCACACATGTGATGCCAGCCTCCCTCAGAGCACTCCTGTGCCTGCCTGACTACCAACATGAGGGGCAGTCAGAGCCAGGGCTCTGTGAGGAGAGGAGTCAGCCCCTCAACCTGCACCACCAATAAGCAAGGCAAAAAGTCTAGCATGTGGGGCTGAGTTGGAATAAATGGAATGGGAAAAGGGGGACAGAAAGATCAATAGACCACATAGATATGGAGATCACGTCTTTTTTTGTCTTGTCAAAACTCCGTGTTCCCAGAGTATTATCTTAATGACACAGTAGTGTAGAAATGAGGAAGAAACCTCTTTATTTCTAAGCAAATTTCTAATAGGAAAATAAACTTTTTTTAATCCTTAGTATTATTTTATTACTGTTTCTTTCCTGCTTCTTTATTATAATTCGTTTCCTGTTTCTATTCTAGGAGCCCCAAACCACCCAGTGCTATGCTACAGTAAGTGTGCACCTTATACTCTCTTTCCGTGTTATAGTCCAGCAAAATCCCTGGGTGCGTGGCCATGTCTCAGATCAGCATGAGGACTAATGAGACCTTTCAGGGAAGCTGTGTTTGAACAACTGGGAGGAGGGGCAGGTGCATGTCCAAGGTGACTGGGTCATTGATTTAATCCAACTAGATCTCCTGCCAATCTTTTTAAAATAAACTTTTAATTTTAGGATAATTTTAGATTTGTTGCTTAGAATAATTTTAGTATTGAGAAGGTGATACGGAGAGTTCCTGATACCTCTCACACCAGTCCCCATTGGCATGGTACATTTTTCATAACCAATGACCCAAACTACTGTATTATTGTTCATTTAAATCCACACTTTATTCATACTTCCTTCCCCGCCCCCCTCAACCATGCCCTTTTTTTTTCTGCCCATGGCTCTATCTGGAATACTTTATAACATTTAATCTAAGGGGTCTTTACATTTCTCTTGGATTGATGGTTTCTCAGACTCTCCTTGGTTTTGACGACTTTAGCAATTTGGGATTTGCTAGCTAGATGTTTGAAGCGTACCCTCCATTGGGACTCGCCTGGCGCATGTCTCATGATGAGGCAGGGTGATGTGTCTGGGGGAAGAAACCAGAGGCAGTTGTGGTTTCCAGTACACCCTATATCGAGGCTGTATCCTGCCAACAATGTCTCAGTGTGGATGCTGACCTTGGTCCCCTGGCTGACGTGGCGGTGGTCAGGTTTCTCCAATGGGAAGTTACTCTTTGTTTCCTCCTCTCTGTAGTGTTGTCTTTGGGAGCAAGTCACTATGGATAGCCACACTTCAGGAGTCTGGACTAGGCTCCATCTCCTTGAGGCAGAATGTCCACATCAATGATTTGGAATTCTTCTGCTCGAGGAATTGGTCTCTTCTCTCCATTTCTGCTTATTCACTCATTCATTCATATCACTATGGGCATTTATACTTGGGTTTATAATCCAGTACTAATGTATGAGGGGGTTGGTTTCAAAACGCTGGCAGAACAATTCCATGGTCTCCTAATTGCATTTTTCCAGAACTCTCTGAAGTCCTGGCGCTTTGTTGCTCGGGGTGGGTTCAGGAGTTCTTCAGGCCGCTTCCCAAGTCCCCTTGTCAGATCCCAACCTTGGGAAGAGCTTCATTTGTTTGTTCCAAGTATATGTCCTGCCTCAGCATGAGAATGAACCATTTCTCTTCAAAGAGCCCTTGTTCCTTTTGTGGGAGAGGGATAGAAAATGTCAAGGTGTGTGTGTGTGTGTGTGTGTGTGTGTGTGTGTGTGTGTGTGTGTGTGTGTAAACTACATGAAGAACCTGTTAGGGACCTTTCACTTATCTTGTTAGCGACATGAAAAGAAATGCCTATTGCTGTGTTATTTTATCAGATTCATGCTTCTGCTTGTAGCCAGTAAGTCCTCAAGGCGCCTTCTCTGGCCTGAAGTCAAATGCCCCCTTTGAAAAGCTGTGTGGCATCCCGATGACAAAAACTGGGCAGCACTCCACAGGGGGATGAATAACAGAAACGTGGGTGAAGGGAGACAACAACAGTGTAAGGCAGGAAACAGCAACAACAATATATAATTGATCAAAGCTTCACAAGGGGGTGGGGAAGAGGCTACCAAGGGCTCAAGTAGAAAGAAAATGTTTTGGAGATGTTAATGGCAACATATGTACAAGTGTGCTTAACATAACTGAATGATGGACTGTCGTAAGATTTGTAAGATCCCCTTAATAAAATGATTAATACTAATAATAATGAAATAATGTTTAAAACTGGGCAGGCTGTGTCTAGAGACAGTCCGTGCCTCTAACTGAATGGCTCCCATGTCAGAAACGCAGGCTCGTGTCCGTGTGTCTGTGGTTAGGGGCACGCTTACGTGTCGGCCTTCTCCTTGGCACGCCCTCTCTGTGGAGGGCGCAACGCAGAGTGAAAAGGCAATCTGTACCAGCCACTGGATAAGAACATGCTTGTTTTCTAATAGTCCTACCGTGAAGAGAACACAATGTAGCCATGTCCTCATACACTTGTATCCCCAATTTAAATAGGAATCTTAACTTTAGTTTCCAGTAATGCGTTAAAGTCTTAGAAATCCAAAGGGGCAATTGTACTCCTGTTTTTTATGATTTTACTGGGGGCTCATGCAGCTCGTACTCTCATCACAGTCCACACACACATCCATGTGTCAGCACACTTGTACACACGTTGCCCTCATCATTTCCAAAGCATTCTCTTTCTACTCGAGCCCTTGGTATCAGCTCCTATTTTTTCACTCCCTCATGAACCCTTGATAATTTATAAATTATTATTTTTTTCACGTCTTACACTGACCAATGTCTCCCTTCACCCATTTTTCTGTTGTCCGTCCCCCTGGGAGGGGGTTATATATAGATCCTTGTGATCATGCCCCCTTTCTCCCCCACTTTCCCCTTACCCTCCTGGTATGGCTACTCTCAATATTGGTCCAGATGGGTTTATCGGTCCTGGATTCCCTGTGTTTCCAGCTCTTATCTGTACCCCTGTACATGCTCTGATTTAGCGGGATTTGTAACGTAGAATTAGGTTCATGACAGTGGGGAGGAGGAAGCATTAAAGAACTAGAGGAAAGTTATGTGTTTCATTGGTGCTATACTGCACCCTGACTGGTTGGTCTCTTCCATGTGACCCTTCTGTAAGGGGATGTGTAATTGTCTACAGATGGGCTTTGGGTCTCCACTCAGTACTCCCCCTCATTCACAATGATAAGATTTTTTGTTCTGGGTCTTTGATGCCTGATACCTGATCCCATTGACACCTCATGATCACGCAGGCTGGTGTGCTTCTTCCATGTGGACTTTGTTGCTAGATGGCTGCTTGTTTATCTTCAAGTCTTTAAGACCCCAGCCGTTACATCTTTTGATAGCTAGCTTTCTCCACATTTGCTTATGCACCTATTTTCTCTTCATCAATTGTATTGGGAAGGTGAGCATGATGGAATGTCAGGTTATTAGAACAAAGTGTTCTTGCATTGAGGGAGTACTTGTTTACCTTCTCTTTTTTTAAAATTGTTTTTATTTGGGGCTCATACAATTCTTATCACAATCCATACATACATCGATAGTGTAAAGCATTTGTACATTCATTGCCCTCATCATTCTCAAAACATTTGCTCTCCACTTAAGCCCCTGGCATCAGGTCCTCATTTTCCCCCTCCCTTCCCCCTCCCCCCTCCCTCATGAACCCTTGATAATTTATAAATTATTATTTTGTCATATCTTGCCCTGTCCTACATCTCCCTTCACCCACTTTTCTGTTGTCCTTCCCAGGGAGGAGGTCACATGAAGATCCTTGTAATCGGTTCCCCCTTTCCAACCCACTCTCCCTCTATACTCCCAGTATCGCCACTCACACCACTGGCCCTGGATTTCCTGTTTCCAGTTCCTATCTGTACCAGTGTACATCCTCGGTCTAGCCAGACTTGCAAGGTAGAATTCGGATCATGATAGTGGCAAGGGAGAGGGGGAGGAACCTTTTAGGAACTAAAGGAAAGTTGTATTTTTCATCGTTGCTACATTCCACCTTGACTCGCTCGTCTCCTCCCTAAGACCCCTCTGCAAAGGGTTCTCCAGTGGCCTACTAATGGGCCAACAGTGGCCTACCCTGTCTCATAGGGTCACCATGAGTCAGAATCCATTTGATGGCAGCAGTGAGAGTTTTGACTCCTTGTGGTCCAGTGGTACCAGTGCAGAAGACACTGTAGGGCCCCTGCTTCTTCAGTGAAGCAGTCCTGGATCAACCTCATTCCATAAACTACAAAGTGATGTTCATTTGTACATTTTTTCCAATATCCAACGTTTAATGATAAATACAGTTTATTCAAATTAATTTCCCCTTACATATTAGCTTGAAAATAAGTGAGCTAAATGCAGGCTAAGTAGAACTTCATTTGTATGAATAAAGCTATGACATATTTGTGGGCATGAAGAGACTGTGTAGTTGACATTGGTCAGGAGAGATGGGTTTTGTCTGATATAAAGCCAGGAGCCCTGGTGACACAGTGGTTACTCCTTGGGCTGCTAGCTAACTCCACGGTAGCTGCTCCACCAGAGAAAAGCAAGGCTTTCCATGCTGTAAAAAGTTCGAATCCCACAGAGGCAGTTCTACCCTGTTCTGTAGGCTCACTATGAGTCAACATTGACTCGATGGCCATGCAGTGAAATATAAAGCGTTACACACTCAAGCACTAACCAAAGGGTGGTCAGTTCAAACCCACCCAGCAGTCCCATGGGAGGAAGAGCTGGAGATCAGCTTCCAAAAAGATTACAGCCTCGGAAACTCTAGAAGTCAGTTCTACGTTGTCACTTAAACTCTCTGTAAATCAAAAGTCAACTGGATGGCACGTAGCAACCGCACTGTAAAGCTTATTCTCTTCCTCCGGAGAGGCATGCACATGCAAAGCAAGGGACCGGACCAGGAGGAGAGAGTCTGGGAACAGTGGGGAGTGAACCAGAAAGGCCAGGTTCAAATGCAGTTCCAGAACCAGCATGCATTCAGTCACAGGCATACCAGAAAGAGTTGCTAATGGAATAAGTTGAAATAGAATTGGGACTAGAATAAGCTGAAAAACTATGGTTGCATTAATATGTGCAAGTTTACGTATATGAGTAGAAAATGCAGTTTGATTCTGCTATGTTCTTCCATGTGCCTTATTAGGCTGGTAAGATGTGGGACCCGTGAGACTGATTTCTGAGCCTGTCATATCATTTCCCTTGGACGTGGATGTAGTTTAGGAAAACCTGGTATGAATATTTTATGGCACAGCCATACCAATCTATTGCCAACAGAAAAGGTCTTTGGATACTTGTGAATGCCGAGTGAGTTGCAGGAATTACATTCAGGACATGCCGTTAATGATTAACAACAACAGCTACAACACTAATAAACCACTCCCATCTTTATTACTTGGGCCTGGGAAGTGTAGATGTCAACAGCTTCCCCGTAGCTTCTCTGGAAGAGGATGATAAACACAGGTGACCCCTAAACTCCTCCCTTTCTCTCCTCCCACAAGTGCACTGAGCGGCCACACCTGGGAGTTGGAGCACTTCTCCCAGCATGCCCGTGCCTTTGCACGTTGGGGGCTAACCTGGCCTTGCTTCTCCTAATTCAATTTCCAACTGTACCCCGTAAATTTAGCTCCCACAGCTCCCACAAGAACTTCTTTAAGTTATGCCACTTCTCCAGATGACAGGATATTCCTGTGACCTTCATCCTTCCCTGGACTAGCTATTTGGGGTTCTTAAAAAACTTCTAAACAGCACTGAATATAAACAAGCAGTATATTTTTGCTAGTTGATTTCTCAAAGAGACAGATGCTCTGAGCTGAAACTTGCAGTGCAACTTTGCACTACTGAAATCGAATGCCCAAAACATTCCTACACGTAATTGGAGTAACCTCCAACCCCCTTAAAGCCAGAGGTAGAAGTGGAAACTAGCTAGAAATTCTTCTGGTAGCATTCCAAACACCATGAAAGTCTATTGCTTCTGCTGCTGCATGGTAATATTGTTGTTGAATTCATTTTATTTTTGTATTCTGGTAAATATAGACAAGGGAGCTTCACTAAGTGTGTAGGGAAATTTCTTCATCTTTAATTGCATTTTCCAAGAGCTTTTTTGAAGCCCCTGCATATGTAGGGATCAGCGGCAGGTCAGTGGTAGATTGTTCACTTTCCATGCAGAAGACCCGGGTCCAATCACCGGCCAGTGCATCTCATGCACACCCATTGCTCATCTGTTTGTGGGAGCTGAACAAGTAGCAAGGGAGAGGCTACGCTGAGACAGACAAAGAAAAAAGATGGGGTGTTTCCTGGAAATCAGCTAATGAAAACCCAGGGATCACAGTTCCCATCTACAACCAGCCCTGGAAATGGCACATGACTGGGCAGCCGTTTGTTCATTGGTGCATGAGGTCGCCGAGAGTTGGGGCGGTTCAGTAGCAGCCAACAAAAACAGGAGCATATGTAACAATGCGTGTGTCATTTCAACATGTTTTACAGTGACAGTGTGTTCCTTATCTTGCTCGGCCATCACTATGATCTGTTTGCAAGCTTTTCCATCACTCTTAAGACTTCCAATCTTATGTCCATTATGAAAGCATTGTTTATTTTCTGATAAAGAATTCAGGTATGAAATATAAAATCAAGTAAAATGTATGTCTTGTGCATCTAACAAAATTAGGACAATTTCATACGTTTTATAGTACACATGGACCCAGAGTGCCAGCTCCATGAGTACAAGGCTTTGGCTGGGTCACTATCGTACCCTGGAGAGGAGAGGAGGACCTGGTGCAAAGCCGGGTCCCAATTAATACTTGATGGTGATGTTTGTGACTGTACTTTTCCCATTCTGTGTTGTTTCACCCTTTCTTGTCTGCTCAACAACGTCTTAGAGAAATCTACTTCCCGTATCCAATTGAACACCCCTACCACACCCACATCTCCCGGGATGCCATGTTCCCAACCTTCACATCGCCCAAGGAACTCTACACTGGCATTAAGGCCCGAAGCCAACAACCGTTCCCCCCAACCATGCCAGCGAAGACTTACGATTCAATGGTCACTGCGAAGACAAAAGGTAAAATGGGATGTGGAATCAGAAGAATTCTTGTATTATTGGAGTCTTTTCGAGAATAAAAGTAAAGAAGGCATGTAGTACAAAGGACTTCGGGGACAAGCATGGGACTTATGAGTAGATGAGGAAAGTGGCTGTCCACTGGGCCTGCCCGTTAGGATCAGCTGGGGCCTCTCCACAGCCCACTGCATCAGGCCCTCTGCAGAGGGTCCTGCCTCTCTGCTTTCCCACAGCCTCCCAGGGGAAGCGCAGACCCCAGAACTCTGTGGAACTGGTGGCTTCCCTTCGACTCACATTCCTATTTTTCTCTCCACCTCCTGCTCTCGCTTTGGGGTTAGCTTTTGAAAATCCCGCCATTGCAGCATTTGGTTCTGTTCCTCAGAGGCTGGACGGATAGCAGAGAGGCGAGGAGGCTGAGAGACTGATTGAAAGGAGACTGTGAAAGTAAAGGGAGCCGTTTGTTCAGGTCCTCTTGACACCTGAGTGTCTTCTCCCAGATGCAAGCCATGGGTCTTCTGGGAAGGGTTTGATTCGGGAGGACAGTAACCCCGTGCACCAGACATCTTGTTTCTCTAGCCCAGCTCTTGTGAGGTGGCCTGCACGTGTGTGAAAGCAGAGCCGAAGCTTCTGGAAAAAGCGTGACCATACTAGAAAAGAGAGTAACTGAAGGTAACAGAAAAGACGCATACAGGCAGAGAGAGTCCCGTTTGTCGAGTGAGGTCAGGCTATGAGGTAGGTAAGGCCCAAGGATAAAAAAATGGCACTGGAAACCAGTAACATGTTGAGAGGCAGCATAGAGAAGGTGCTGCAGAGCTCAGACAGTAACAGTCTTGCTGAGCGCACTGGGGTCAGAGGCTGTGTGTGACCCTACACACTGCTCTTTAAGGGGCAAGAACTCTAGAGCAGGTTGCAACCCAAGAGCTAAGATTACATATCTGTAATGTGCACTAGCATTCTTACCTACCTGCTAGTAGCTTGTTTCTATGAAGCCATGAGTTAGAAGCCTGTCGTCATTCAGCATACTAATCCTTTTCCTGGAATGTTCAGGTAACCCCTACAGACATGAGCTGGTGGCAGTCCCCTCCGACTCCAAGAAGAAGGCCTTGACTTGGCCGGGTCAGCATGTGTACTATGATGTAAGTATCTTACTAATGTGCTCAAAGCAAAGCAAAACTATGTTTTGTTCGATAATTTTATAAACATCCAAAAGATTAACTGTTTTTATTTTATATATACATTTAAAATGTGGGGTTTTTTATTACGAATCAAGGTTTATAAATTTTTCTTAGCGGATTTCAAATATTTTTGACAGTGGTGTAATGTTTCCAGTTACCAAATGAAAAAGTTTCCCCAGAAAGATGGTGGTGGAGGACTGCATGTCCCCCACGAGTCGCCCCAACCCTATTCTTGTGACCCTAACACAGCAAATACCTCCAGACCACATAGAGTGAATGGGAAATTTTCGGAAACATTCACTAGAGAGTTGGTGACTATCTCGTGAACACAGAGCTCAGGTTTATGAAACTCCAGTCTCAACTCTTACCCACTGTGTCGCACCTCCACATGATTACAAAGATAAAGTTTTAAATCATGACAGAAAATATCAAAGCACTGGAAGATTAAATGAACCAACATTTGCTGACCGGTTACTTGATGAGAGGCCAGTGGCAAGCATTTTCCACACATCATTTTCTTGCATCCAACAACCTATGAGCCAAGCAGGCAACACGGTTGGAAGGCTAGAACTATGTGACTTTTACCTGGAAAGGTCATCATGGCACCCGAGAGTATGGCGAATTCAGTGTCACATACTTAACTATGGAATAGACAATGTCCTGCTGCATAAAATACATACCGTATATAGTCGAGGATAAGCTGACCCGAATATCAGCCATGGCACCTAATTTTACCACAAAAACTGCATTAAAAATGTGCTGATAAACTCCGCTTATACACGAATATATGTGGTAAGTACAGTTACATTTCAAGAAGAATCTTTGCCAGATACAATGGCTTCACTGGGTATTTCTACCTAAAATTTAGGGAATTGGTACCAATACCATTTTAAACTCTTGCCAAAGCTAGAGAAGGATGGGATACACTGGTATTTATTATACAAAGCAAACACAACCCCAGTACCCAAACCAGACAAAGATACCACAAACAAAACCACAGGCTCTAGTTTCTTATGAACATGTGCAAAAATTCTCAACAAAATGCTAGTGAACAGAATCCAACAACATATTAAAAGAGTCATACACCATGACCAAGAGGCGTTAATTCCAGGAATGTAGGGACAGTTCTACACTAGAAAATCAGTCAGCTTGTGATGATTGTATAACTCTTCTTGATGTGACTAAACTGTTGAACTGTATGGTCTGTGAATTCTATGCCAACCTAAACTACTGGGGGATCGGGGAAGAAAGAAAGAAAGGCCAGCAGTGTAATGCACCACATCAATAGAACAAAGGCAAAGGAACTGCACGATAAGAAAAAGTATTTGATAAAATCTAATACCTTTGTTGATGAAAACCCTAAAGATAGAAGGAAAATTCCTCAGTATGGCTCAGGGCATACAAAGGCACCTCAAAAAATTAGTGGAAGATGGAACTAAAAGATAATAGAATTTTTCCATGAGTTTTTTGCAGCCTCTTAGGACATGAAAGCCAACAACAACATTATTCTTAATGGAAAAAGATTGTGAGCTTTCCCCTTGGATGAGGCATGAGATAAAAGTGTCTTATCATTTCTGTTCAGTTTATATTAGAAGTCCTAACCAGAGCAATAAGACAAAAAAAAAACCAACAACAACAAGAAATTAAAGTATCAGATTAGAAAAGAACTAGTAAAATTATTTCTATTTATGATCATATGACCCTAGGTACAGAAAATCCCAGAGTCCACTAGAAAACTTCTAGATCTAACAGAGGAATTTAGCAATGTCCAGGGCACAGTCAACAAACAAAAATCAGTTGAGTTTCTATACACTTCAGCGAGATAACTGAGATGGTTATTAGGGAAACAAATCTACTTGCAAAGTATCTAGGAAAATAAAATCCTTAGGAATAAATCTAACCAGGGATGTGAAAGATTTAATACAATAAAAACGATAAAACGCTGCTGAAAGATATTGAAGAAGACTTAAATAAATGGAAAGATAGCCTATGTTGTTCATGGATTGGAAGACAATATTGTTAAGATGTCAGTACTACCCAAAGAGATCTCTAGATGCCAGATAATCATGATCAAAATTCCAAAATCCTTCTTTACATAGAAAAAACAATCCTCAACTATATGGGGAGTAGCAAGAGGCCCTGAATAGCTTATGCTATTGAACAAGAAAAATAAACTAGGAAGATGCACATTTCCTCACTTTAAAGGATACAGCTCCATAGTCAGAACAACCTAGTTTGAGTAGAACTCACACTCAGGAATAGACCTGGAAGTCTAGAAGTAAACCCACATACCCATCATCAACTGATTTTTTACAAAAGGGTTAAGTCAATTTGATGTGGAAAGACAATTCTCTTCAATAAATGGTGCTGGGAAAATTGAATTCCTACATGCATAAAAATGAAACGGGATCCGTGCTTCCTACCATACAGAAAAACAAAATGGATTAAGGACTAAATGTGCAAACTAAGACCATAAAATTCTCAGAAGAACAAGCAGGGGCAACACTGCCATGTGTAGCTGCAACAACAATGGACTACCTAATATAATGGTGTGTCTCATACAATAGCATATCTAATATAGTTCATGTGAACAGATCAAACAGCAAAAGACAAAATTGTAAGAATTTTAACCTTTTGTTCATCAAAGACCTTACTAAAAGAGTGAAAATATAAACCCCTGAGAGAATAGCTGCAGAAATTATATCTCCAATCAGAATCTAATAACTAGAATGCATCTAAAAGTCCAAGAGCTTAACAACAAGACAACACAAAATGGCAAAGGAAGACATTTAAATAAACACCAAATGCATGAAAAGACTCTTAGTGTCATTGGCTATCCGAAAGATGCAATTATGTTCCCGTATGTATTTTATATAACATTTCCCAGCTCGGTTTCTTGGAGCGGAGGCCTCCCCTGCCTTCCCTGCCTTCTAGTCTTCTGCACACAGGTCCGACAGGTCCGAAGAAACCCTTGGATGGACTCTTCTTTTCCTTAAAGGTGCGGAAAGCAGAGTGCATGGGTCAGTTGTGCTTTTGCACCGAAGGGCATGTCTAACTTAAGAAAAACTCACTACTACAAAATCCAAGTTTTTATTTATTTTTTAAATTTATCTTTGCTTCTGCCTCCCTCTCTCCCCCTCCCTTCCCTACCCCTTCCCCAAGCCACCAACGTTTATATCTTTTTATACGAAAATGTTTTTTCCTTGATTTTAAAAAAAATGTATAACAGTGATCATCTTTTTGTGATTGCCGAACTTTACTCAGCATAATATCCTCCACATGTACCCATGCTATCAGGTGTTTGACCGTTTCAGCATCATTCTTTAGCGATGCATAGTCTCCTATTGTATGTATGTACCAAACTTTATTTATCCATTCCTCCACCCACGGACATCTCAGTGGTGTCCATCTTCTGGCTGTTCTACATAGTGCTGCGATAAACATGGTTCGCAGACACCCGTCCGTGTTGGGTCCTGGTTTCTTTAGCATGTGCTGAGTAGAAAGACTGCTGGGTCACGTGGTGTTGCTGCTCCCACTTGTTTGAAGAAGCACCATACCACTCTCCACAATGGTTGTAAAGTTGTGCAGGCAGTACAACTTACATACACCAGCAGTGTATGAGGAGGCCAGTCCCTCCGTACTCTCCACCTGCTCCTCCGTAGCCCTCAAAATCGATTTCTGTTCAGGGTTACAGATGGATAGAGTCTGATGGGACTCCCAGAGCTTCAGTCACCCTTCAGGCCTTAAGACGAACTGCCCCCACCCCTGGTTCAAATTTCAGCTCATCAATTGACAGGTGTATATGGACAATGAGAGCACTGAGGAGGTAAACACATTTAGAATACTCAGCCATTTGATATGAACGAGACAGCGTTTACCCCAAGAGCAAGCTCAGCAAGGTTCAGAAAGAAGGAGCAATGGGAATGGGAAGCAAGTGTAGAATCGGGATGAGTGATATTACATTGTAGGGATTACCACCAATGAGATGAACTCAAACACAGGAATTGTTAAAGGGAACATGACCGGCTCTGTAAACCTTTGCCTAACTAGAATGGCAGGCCCATGTCCTAGTGGTTACCAAGGAAAGGGAATTATTTATGATGATAGAGAAACCACATTGATTAAGAGTAGGGTTGTACCACCAATAATTGTCATTGCTCTTAATAAGTTGCACACCTATTAAAAGTTCAATTGTGAGCAGTTGTATGATATAAAAATGACCCTGCCCCCCTCAAAGTACCAGTTTCTGAGGCCACACACCATATATACTTGAGTATAAGCCGACCTGAATATCAGCCGAGGCACCTAATTTTACCACAAAAACGTCATTAAAAATGTGCTGAAACACTTAGCTTAAAAAAAAACAAAGCTCAGCTTATGCACGAGTATATGCAGATGTACAAGCAAGCACCTCACAGGCTTTGTTTCCTTAGTGTATAAACCACGTAAGGTCATGGTTGAAGGGGGAAGCCCAGGTCCTTGGCCTAACACTGTATTGTTTCCCTTCTACCCCCTAGTGCAGTGGCTCTCAACCTTCCTCATGGCACGACCCTTTAATACAGCTCCTTGTGTTGTGGTGACCCCACCAACCATCAAATTATTTTCTTTGCTACTTCATAACTGTCATTTTGCTACGAATTGTTATGAATCGGGCAACCCCTGTGAAAGGGTCGTTTGACCTCCAAAGGGGTCATGACCCACAGGTTGAGAACCGCTGCCTAATCCATTGTGTAGTGCTGGGAATCGTAAAAGCTTGCACAACAACTGAACTCCATTCACCTGCAGGGGTGGGGAACCTTTTTTGTGCATAGGGCCATTTGGACATTATAATATCATTCTCAGGCCACACTGGTCAAACATTTAATTAACGCACTGCTAATGTGATGGCTGGAACGGCCTCTCCTTGGTGAGGCCTGTGATGTTAGCTGTATTGATGATTTCTAGGGCCTTTTACAGCCCTCGGGTTGGATGTCCCCCACCCTGACCTAGAGCAACAAAAAGAGCATCAGGAATAGGCAGATATGAGATGTGTGGCTAAATGCCTCGATGAAGGGCTATCTCCTTTGCCAGAAGAACAGGATAGCACCCAGCTACCATTACTGAATGCGTTCCTTAAAGACTCTTAGGAATGATCCTAATCAAAAGGGAAGAAGTGCAGAGCAGAATTTCTCCAAAGACTAGATAGGAAGTACACTCAGGGCCCCTGGATTGTATGTGTGGAACCTGTCGAAGGGGTGTGTGGGTTGCTGCTGCACGCTTCACAACAATAACAACAAAATACATTTTTAAAATGAAGGAGAAACATTCTTAAGGAACCATCTACTTCGCTGTATCTTTCCTTCCTTCAAGGAAACCCTCTCCCTAACTCTCCCCATTGGGAGCAAAGAAGAGTGACACAATCCAACACACCAGCAAACCATCAGTCCAAAGTTCTCACGGGCTAGGTGAACCCAGGCCTCTCAACTGAGACCACAAGAGCTAGATGATGCCTGCCAACCCCTGCTGACCACTCCGAAAGGAGCACAGTAGGAGGGCCTGGATAGAGTGGGAGCAAAATGTGGAGCAAAATTAAAAGTCATTAAAAAAAAAATCAGGCTTGCTGGCATGACAGAGACTGGTGGAACCCCTGCGTCTATAGCCCATAGACACCCTTCTGACCTGGAACCAAACTGACCCCTGTGGCTCCATTTTCAGCATTTCAGATAAAAACACAGGGAAGTACATACTCCTTAGAGCAACCAATCATATGAGATTAATCTTGAAAGTCCTCGTTTGCCTGAGTGCACAGAGATGCTTTAACCAAGGGGGGAGGGCCCTTCTCCATCTGGCTCCACTCTCAGCCTGGTTCCACTCACTGCCTACCTTTTTTCAACTCATCATCCAAACTTGGGTTCATGCTAATCCTGGAATGACCTCCCATCAGCACCCCTGCCTCTCAAACACTTAATAATTTCACAAGGCTCAGCTCCACTCTGTGTATGTTACAGGGTTTTTTTTTAAAATCAAGAATCATAAATTCTAGTTCATTTCATATCTGTGATTTTCTAGGTGGTGTTAGATTAGATATATTACTTTTGTCTCAGCTTCAATCACAAAATGTATCTGTGTAATGTCAGGAAAATTTGCCTTCCAGACTTCATGGGATTTGAGGATTAACTGAGATAGCCAAGCACTCCAAAAACTAGCAAATGTTATTATGTATGAGGCATTGTTAGGCAACAGCAGTTTCCCCCGTCTCCTGGCTGTCTACAACGCTTACTTACTACAACCGCTAATTTCCACCTGTATTTCAGATCTCCTTAACTAAATGACAAGTTCTGTGAGACCAGAATGTGCTATAATATGCATGCCCCAACAGTGCTTTTGTAGACAAATACTCTCTTGCTAAATATCCTCACTAGTCCTCATTGCCAACCTTTCCATCATTGTCCCAGCATGTCCTAACCTTAAGGCTGGCCATTTCCTGGATGATGGAATAAAAATAAAAATATATACTGAGCCTGGCTCAAAAGCTGTCATTTCTAACAAGGTAGGAGAAGTAGGAGATACGTAATTTTAGGTAGCCTCGTCCAGAGGAGCGCCTTGGAGTCCTTCGTATTGCTAGTAAAATCCCACGGACGTCATACATTTCCTACATACATCCCTGCTAAGGCAAAATACCCCTAGAAAAGACTTGGTTGTTTCTGAGATTTAAATACTGTGTTTAACTCTATGCATGGTGACAGTTGGCAGCATGTTTGCAATTAATGAAGAAAGAAACATTTGACTCCAGCCTGAATTTCCTTTGTCCCCTTTCCCTACTGAGATCATTTGTAGGCCTTTATCCTATTAAGTATCATTAATCGCAATAATCTTTATATTCATATCTAGATTCCTAGATGTGCTGAAAAAAATAGGCCAGTGTTCTACCCCAAACCGCCTAAAACATATGCTCCCAACACGTCTTTAAGTCTGTGGGATCCTATCAACTCTCTGAAAGAAGCCAACATACAACGGAACCTTGAGAGGTCCCACTGGGTCACTTCGTACACCCGTGATTTCACAGGTAGGGCTTTACTTTACGGTGAACAGAAAACCCAAACTTGAGCCCTTTCACGTGCTGTTCTCAGCTGTCCTCTGACGCTCCTCCCGACTTCCCAGTCTGTTCCACATTTCTCTGGGTGGGTGGGCAGCGGGGAGGTAGGGTGGGTCTTCATTTCAGTGGTTCGCATTATACTACAAAGGGGATGGGGATGTTTTCCTTCTAAGGGTGATTTAAATGCCACTCTCCTTTCCACTAAGAAAGTAATAAGTCATCATGTTTCCGTTCAGGTCTGGGGCCCATGGACCCCCTTGAACTGGATGATTACCATGAAAAGGAGGTCGCCAAGTTAACGGGCCAGATCGGCTTTGACCCGGAGCCTGTAAGTAACTGGGGTCGACTCTCGGTTGTCTAAGAGGAAAAGGGCCCAGCTGCTGCGCACCTAATCTGCTTTTACTTGATTCCTGATACTGGCGACCGAGCTAGAGAGGGGACATTTGTGCTGCTGGCAGAGGTCAGCCCTGAAGTGCTTTGCACTGGTTTCCTTACCTGTGCCCGCTGTTTGGCAGAGCAAGAAGTGTGCCGCCTTCTCCTCCGCAGGGTGCTGCTTTCCCGAAATGCTCCTCGTCACGCTCGGTAAAGGGACCTGGTTTTCAAAAGAACCACATTTGTCAGTTTAACTCGGGGGATTCTGAAGAACTTTTCTGAATCTTTGCCTATTTGTATATCTTGTGCATTGTCATAGCTTCTGAAGGGGTGAGCCTTCCTCTGAGATCCACTATAATCGAGAGTTGGCTGAATTACCACCAAAAGCCAATACATGCTCTGCCAATAGCAATAGGTATTTCTTAACGGATTATATATGAACTGGCCAGAATGCAATGATGGAGCCCTTTAAGGGAAAGGAGGAGCTCAGGTGGTGTCATGGGTTACACATTGAGCTGCTCAACTCCAGATCGGTGGTTCGAACCCACAGTTGCTCTGCAGGGAAAGATGTGGCTGTCTACTCCCATAGAGACTGGGCCTTATCATCCTCTGGGGAGTGTTTTGTTTTCTTTATTTTTCACTTGCACCAAGTACCGGTAAAGCTATGAAATCTGATATGCACACGCTGACATTGTCTGGTGTGGTCAGTGAGCTGTCCTTTGTCCACAGATTGGGCCACGAAGGCTCTAGCTACTCAGGAAGCCGCTTTATCTTTTTAAAAAACAAAACAAAGAAATACATGTGCGGTTATACAAAGGATGCTGGCCACGAAGGTGTAAGATTATAGTTGGAGTAAATCAACAGTGAAAGATTGATAAGCTAGACTATACCTCAAATAGTTTGATGTACAAGAAAGAGTTTCAGTAAATCCTGTGGGTTTGGCTGGAACGTGAGTGTCAGACACTGGGGAGCAGATGGAAATGTTGTGGGTAGTAGGACAAAGGGAAGGAACAGAAGCTGCTTCTTGCTTCAAGAGATACCATCAGAGCAGGGTTTGATAAGCCCTCTCCATCTTAATGTCTAGCAGACTTCATAAAGCATCTCAAAGAGCCAGGTGTCTCCTTCGTAACTTCTACCCAAACCCAATTAGCTAAAGGTCACAACAAATTCCTCAATAATTCAGTAGAGAGATTCCTCCAACTACAGATTAGAACCGTGACGGGTATTCCTAAGTCTGCTTCATTGTAAGTCTGTTCACAACTATGGTTATTATTTTCTCTCCGCTTTCATTTTTACTGTCTCTGTGGTCAATTCCATTATCACCAGACATTCATTCCTGCTTAGATTTTTTAAGTGTTATTTATTATTAAAACTATTACAAAACTTTCAAACATATAAAAAGTTAGAATAAGTGCATAGTTACACCCACCACTTTAATTCTACCTATTAACATTTTTTCCTCTGTGGTTCTCATTGGTGCAGTGGTTATAGCACTCCGCTGCTGCTAAAATAAAAAGTGTCAGGGGTTCAGATCCCACCAATCGCTCCATGGGGGAAAGATCTGGCAGTCTGTTTCCATAGAGATTTCTAGCCGTGGAAACCCTACGGACCAGTTCTGCTCCTCCTGAAGGGTTGCCGTAAGTCAGAGCCCACTCGCTGGCAGTGGGTTTGTCACATGATCCATCCCTCTTTCCGTCCTTCTATCCAGCTTTCAATCCACGCTATCACTTTTATGTGTTTCAGAGTAAATTGCAGGCATTAGTTATACTTCGCTCATAAACATTCAGCATGCATGCTATTAATCAGTTTAAGATTTGGTTGAAGTCTTTTCTTTGAAGGTAAACTTTACATTCAGTGAATTTGCACATATCCTACATGTGCATTCCCATAGTTTTGGTAAATGCACACAACATTGCAACCTAAACTCCTGTCAAGACATAGAAATATCATTCCAGAACGTTCCCTTATGCCCCTGCCCAGATACTCCTCTTCTCCTCCCCCTGTAAGACATCTGTATTCATAGCATTTTGAATGTATCCACTGGTTTGGGGGTTCCCAGATCTGAGGAACAATGTCTATAAAACACCTCAAAAAGAAGTACAGGCAGGACCAACTTCACCCAGACCAATGTTTCTCAAATTACAGCAAGCACATCCATCACCTGTCTCAGCACCACCTGGGCCACTTCTTTAATATGCAGCTTCCTCAACCCCACTGCACACCTTGTGATCTCCAAGAGTCAGGCCTAGGAATCTCATTTTCTGTCGACCTCAATGGTGATTCTAATTCAGCTAAGCTTTGCAAGCCCCTGCTTTGGCCTACTAAAAAAGGCTTTGGAAAAGATTTAAATAACTGTACTTTTAGCATCAGTTGGTGGTGGGTAGAAGTTTTCTTCCAGTGATTATTTTTATATCTTTGGAAGTTTGAAAGCAACAAGTTCCTACATAAAGGGAGATACTCTACAGATAGATTAAAGCTTTGCCGTTTCCAGCTTAGCAAAAACCAGTAGAGATGATAAACCCTGGTTATTATCACCCAACTATGAATAATATTTAAGTAAATAACATAGAACAGTGCAATGTGGATGCCTGTGCTCAGTCCTGTTCACTCAGTGCAAATGGGTATGGATGGCTTTTACATTTGTAACAACATCCTCAAAATGCCAAATGTAATCATTGCTTTCCTTCTTATCCCGCCACTACAGCAAGAAAAATCCCATCCTGTCCTAAAACCTGTCAGACCCTTGGAAGGACGCATTGCCCGGCTGATTAATAACCAACGTCCTCTGGAGGCTACTGTCCAGGAAAAGCCACCTGCCTGCCCAGACTGCACCCCGACAGTTTTGTGCACTTTCCACACCTTCATACCCAGTTCTGAAGAAATGAGGGCACTTAATAATAACACACGGGGTGGTGTGACCTATAAGGACCGAGACCTTCAGGAGAAGATCAAAGAGCAAAACTTGCTATCGACCTACACACTTCCATCTTGTTACACAACAAAAGAGCCGACCAACCTTTATGACATAAAGTCATTTCCAAAAATCACAGACACTAAAAAGACAGAAGATTTGTATTTGAGACAGTTGGCATTAAGACCCCAACCTATGCCTTACTCGAAGGCAAACAATTATATTCACTATGAGCATTTTAAATCTGACCAATATACTATGTGTCAAGAACCTGATGACCTTAGGAAACCTGGCCTTTTACAAAATAAACAAGGCACAGAAACTTTCACAGTAGAACAGTTTTGCGGCAAGCCAGAAGAACATCAGTTGGCCTGGGACGTGGAAAACGAGGAAGAGTCACGACCTATGCTAGGTTGGATTCCTAGAACTGGAGTGGCCAAGCCACAGACCAACCTGCTGGACCTTAAGAACTCTTTTTCAAAATCTGGTGTGCGAAAGCGTTTCCATAAGTCCATTATAGATGACCCTAAGGACCTCAGGGATAAGGAGCACTCAGGGATGAAGCACCAATTCTATGGCCATAACTCCTATTATTTCTACAATTAAGATGTTCGTGCATCCCCTCCACGCCCGTCCTCTTGCAAAAAAAGAAAAAAAAGTACAACAGAACTCCCAACTCGCCTTAAAGATAAGACATAACGCCCTTGTTAATGAACTTTATGTTTTCAGGAATTTAAGGTAAGAGCTGGCCAGAGGAACCCAGAAAAGGTGGTGTTCCAACTTCTTAAAAAGTTTAACAATCTGGCAATAAAATGTTAGAACTAGAAAAGATATTGTCTTTAATCTCATTTTCAAATTATACTCCAAAGAAATTTTTCAAAACCATGAAAAGTGATGTGTGCAACAAAGCCGACATCATCATTGTTGTACAAACTGAAATGGGGGAGCCTTCAGTGCCCTGGTTATGGTATTGTACCATGCGAAGGCAAGATGCTGACTTTGTAGACAGCTGGGTAAAAGGTGTACAGAATCTCTCAGATCATTTCTTACAAATTAATCGCAAAAGGATTACATGGCAAAAGAGAAAGTATCTTTCCTCGAATACTTTGCCTGAAAGGAGGAAATGTTCTATATACATATTGTGTGTGTGTGTGTAAAGTCTGTGAAGCCTTCATGAGCCAATACAGTATTTTCTTCTTCACAGCCTTTATGAAACACACGCATTCATAAACATCTGACTCAACAAATTAACCTACTTAATATTTCTTATTAAAGTACTCTGCAAGTTTATATAGCAATAAAATTATACTTCATTATGACAAAATGGGTGTGTTAAACAGTAAATGCTATCTAATTAACAATATGTAAATGTTACCAGAACTCCAGATGCAGTTTAGGAGGTACAATTCTGACTCTTTCATCATGTTTAATACAATGTTTCTTATCCATTCAAGTGATATCAACAATAAACTACACAAATGAAAGTTGTAAAATCTAATCTGTGGGAAATCAGTGCTTGTCAGGTAGTTGGTGCTGGAGCAATTGTGTAGTCATAGGACTTCCCTTGGACTTTTGTTGCTGCACACACACACACACACACACTCATACCAAAGAAACCCTCAATTAAAATTGAATTCAGCAAGATAGCAGGATTTGAGGTATGAGATAAGCATAAAATCAAATGTCCACACCACACCATGGAGGATGCTAAGAGAGAAAGAAATGAGCAAAGGATTTTATTATATTTTTTCCTTCCAATATTGAAACTCTTGGTAATTCAGAAGGGAACATAAGCAGAATGGTTTTAAGTTCCTTTTGAGAGCCAGACAATCCTAGGAGGAACACTGCTTTTGACATTACTTAATGTGGTGCAGATAAGTTACGTAAAATGGGAACGATGATGGATCGGTTCAGAGCACTATTGTGAGGATGAAATAAGGCTAAAGAACTTAGTTCAATACCTAGAATATAACAAGTGCTCAGTACATGACTAGCTATTTGTATAAGTTACTCTTCAAGAAGGACTGAATTATCCAGCTAGGTATAATCCCTGTGGTGGACACTGTTGTCCCTGTCAAGCCTACAGCCCCTCAGAACACTGCGATAGTCGACAGACCCCTCCCCTTACGACTTCAAGGTGAGAGCTGGCCAGAGGAACCCAGAAAAGGTGGTGTTCCATGCCTGTGCTATGGGAAGGCCAGAAGCGTGTGTTGGTAGCCAGCTCTGCAGCTAAATTGCAGAGCTCCCAGAAGTGAATTTGGAAACGGAGGTGGAGAGTGGGGATTGTGAAGCAGTCATTGAGTAAAACACACTGGAAACATTTTGTTCTGACCATGAGTCGGAATTAACTCAAAGTAACAGGTTTGACCCGGGGCGGTAGGGGGAGGGGGTGTTTAGTAGGGGACATAAAAATCCGACCAACAGAAAGACCTAGTCATCAATGTGGAATGACAGGAAGCTCATTTATTACTTAAAAGGTACAACTGAATACCAGCACATGGGTAGCTGCTAAGAGACTGAAGCAAGAATGAACTCTCAATTTATACAGCTAAGTGGATTATAATGATTTCATATACACTATTTCTAGCTAGCATATAATACAAAACTTTAAGATTAGTAGTATCTCCCAATAGGCAGCATAATTGTTGCTTGTGATTTGCATTTACAACATGCTCTTTTCCATTGGAAGATTTGATAGTCCATTTGTGACCTGATCCCTCTTGGTGGAGTATTTTGTTTTTCACCTTCCTTCACCCTAAATTCAAAATAAGAACTGGGTTCTTTTTTTTTTTTATCATTTTATTAGGGGCTCGTACAACTCTTATCACAATCCATACATACATCAATTGTGTAAAGCACATTTGTACATTCATTGCCCTCATCATTCTCAAAACATTTGCTCTCCACTTAAGCCCCTGGCATCAGTTCATTTTTCCCTTTCCTCTCTGCTCCCCCCACCCTCATGAACCTTTGATAATTTATAAATTATTTTGTCATATCTTGCACTGTCCAGTGTCTCTCTTCACCCACTTTTCTGCTGTCCGTCCCCCAGGGAGGAGGTCATATGTAGATCCTTGTCATCGGTTCCTCCTTTCCACCCCACCTTCCCTCCACCCTGCCGGTATTGCCACTCGCACCACTGGTCCTGAAGGGATCATCCGCCCTGGATTCCCTGTGTTTCCAGTTCCTATCTTTACCAGTGTACATCCTCTGGTCTAGCCAGATTTGTAAGGTAGAATTGGGATCATGATAGTGGGGGTGAGGGGGGCAGAAGGATTTAGGAACTAGAGGAAAGTTGTATTTTTCCTTGTTGCTACATCACACCCTGACTGCCTCGTCTCCTCCCCAAGACCCTTCTGTAAGGGGATGTCCAATTGCCTACAGATGGGCTTTGGGTCTCTACCCAGCACTCCCCTTCATTCACAATGATATGATGTTTTTTGTTCTGATGATGCCTGATCCCTGATCCCTTCGACACCTCATGATCACAAAGGCTGGTGTGCTTCTTCCATGTGGACTTTGTTGCTTCTGAGCTAGATGGCTGCTTGTTTACCCTCAACCCTTTAAGACCCCAGACGCTATATCTTTTGATAGCTGGGCACCATCAGCTGGGTTCTTGTTTTTGAAAATAATTTTCAACATCCAAAAAGAACAGTAAAACTTGTTTTATCTCACTGAGAAGCACATGGCTACACGTATGCCGAGCTCCAGAAAGCAGAGCTTTGTCTTCCTAGCTGCTTACATTTCAAAAGGGATGAAGCAATTCAAAAGGCAAGAAAAGTATATTTCCAAGGAAATACTCTTAGAAGGAAAGGATCTGGGAGAATAGTCTCTTTGCCTGTTATAAGCAGAGAAAATATGTTAATGCTACTTCAGTGCTTACATTAGTTTGTGGATGCGTTGCTTTTTATTATGTATGAAATATGGCCACTCAGCCCACAGTAAAAACTCAAAGGGTACACTACAACATAAACGTTTAAAACAAACCTTAAAAAGACCCCTCTGAAGGAAAAATTAATGAAGCAGAATATAGAGTTGAGTGAATTATCCATACATAATATAGAGACAAAGTGGTAGAATACACAAAAGGAAAGACTTATAGGACTCTAACATAGACCTATTTAGAGTGGCAGTCGGCTCCCGCATGCGGGACCCTATGTCACCTGAATGAAATGTTGCCCGGTCTTGTGCCATGCTCCCAATTGTTAGGGTGAGCCCACGGTTGCAGTCACTGTGTCAACCTGTTCCAAGGGTGGTCCTCTCCCGCACTCACCCTCTTGACAAAGCATGATGTCTTTCCCAGGAACTGAGGTCCAAAGTGTATGACACGAAGTCTTCTCATCCTCCCTCCCAGGAGCACTCCAGCTGACCTTCCCCCTGACAGATGTGTTATTCTGGCAGTTCACAGTAGTCTCGATATGCATCACCAACACCATAATTCAAAGACATCAATGCTTTTGCAGTCTTTCTTATGTTCATATAAGGCGATTGAAAATAGTACAGGTTGGGGCAGGAGCACCTTAGTCGTCCTCAAAGTAACATCTCTGCTTTTTAATACTTCTTCCAGGGTAGGGGAGGGAGGGGAAAAAATGAGGGTTTGTGGGTTGGAGATGTGTTCCAGTCACATTCTCCTAAGTAAAAGTTATTCCCCAAGATTCCCCCACCTACCCACCCAATAACGCCAATCTTAAGGTGCCTACAAGCCCGTGGTTGCTACTACATACCCTTGAAGGTTAACTGCTTGAAGGCTACTTGCCTGAAGGTTTTCTGCCATGCAGAGCAGTCAGATCCTATTGTCTATCCCACCCTAAGTAGGGCCCACTCCCTTCTGATAGGGATCATAGAGTGTTCCCCTGGAGGAGAGCTCAAAGACACCCAAGGTGCCTTCCTGTCACGTGTGTGCTTCTAGTACCTCCCCTTCCTTTCGCATCTATATGCCTAGTTCTGCCTCACTCCTATTATGTCAGCGGTTCTCAACCTATGGGTCACGACCCCTTTGGGGGTCAAATGACCCTTTCACAGGGGTCGCCCAATTCATAACAGTAGCAAAATGACGGTGATGAAGGAACAACTGCAATGATGTTATGGCTGGGGAGTCACCACAACATGAGGGACTGTATGAAATGGTCGTGGTATTAGGAAGGTTGAGAACCACTGTGTTATGTGTATGCCTAATATAGCCCCTTCCTGTGTGGCTTACATGCCTGAGATCTTAATTACAGCCTCATTCTGGTCTGGTCTCTTTGGAAGGGGTGACCCCTTGAATGCCATGTCTCCTGTCTCTTTAATGTACCCCTCAATCATACAACCATGCCTTAGGACCCATCCAGTCGTGAGGCTGGATCCCACAATGCAGGATGCTCTTCTGTTCAGTGACTTCCCTTTGATCCCTACAGATTGCACAGAAGCACAATGAAGTGTTCTCGAATTCCTATTCACTGTAATGTTATTCATAGTCTGTTAGGACCTACATATTCTAATATATTTGCATAGTCAAGAAAAGACAACCATTTTTCTGGTAGTCTCTGCTTTCCGCCAAATCCATGTGTTGTCAGCAATCATATCCCTGGTTCCACACACTCTTCCAAATCAAGCTTGTATTTCTGCCAGCTGCTTGTCCATGTACTGCTGCAACCATTGTTAAATTATCTTCAGCAAAATTTTACTTTGATGTGATATTGTTTGATAGCTCTCACATTCTGTTGGGTAGCCTTTCTTTGGAATAGGCACAGATTTGGACCTCTTCCAGTCAGTTGGTCAGGTAGCTGTCTTCCAGATTTCTTGCCACACATAGTGAGTGCTTCTTTAACTTTCGTGGTTGGTGCATAAATTTAAGTAATTGTTGTGCAGATTTAATATTCTAGGCTGTAATATTCTCTACTTCTCTACTTGATCGCTGAATTCTAATATCCATTGTGATGACTACACAACCTCACAGACAAAATTCATGATTAAAGGGCTTATTAAGGAAGTTAACAAATTGTAATGGCAGTGAGCAATGCTCAGGGTAGTTGTTTAACAGGACATGTTGCCAAGTTTCAGGTCTGCTAATAAATGCTCAGAGAGGCATACCACCCTGCTGTAAGCCTCAAGGCAAAAGCATTCAGCTCAAGCTTCATGGATCAGCAAACCCAGTTCCCAGAGTAGCGTGCCCAGAGGCACCCCTCTTTGGTAAGCCTCTGGCCCAAATACTCAGCTTCACTTCAGTGGGTTTGAGGCACCCCACTCCGCAGGGTAGCCTCATGCACAAAAATCTGCAACTTGCTCCACGGGCTGGGAAGTCCATCACTCTGTTCCACGGTTCTGCTCCGCTCCTGGTTCTGCTGCTGCTGCTCTAATGGTGTAGCTGTCACCTGGATCCAGGGGATTCACTGTGCAGGGATCTCAGGTCCAGAGCACTTCCACTACCAGCTCTTGCTAGAAATGAGATTCCTCCTGCTGCTGCTTCTCGGAAGGCTCATTTTATACTCATCAAGGTGGCACTCTAGGGAATCCTAGTCACAGGTGCAGGAATCCTATCAGTATCTTCCCCATCTTCTTACCAGACCCATGCAGGGGAAGGTCTTTTGGTGGGAGTTAAGAGACTTTGGTTAGAGTAAACAAGCAGCCATCCAGCTCAGAAGCAACAAGGCCCACATGGAAGAAGCACACCAGCCTGTGTGATCACGAGGTGTCGAAGGGATCAGTTATCAGGTATCAGAACAAAAAATCATATCATAGTGAATTAGGGCGGGAGTGCGGAGTGAAGACCCAAAGCCCATTTGTAGGCCACTGGAGATCCCCTTACAGAAGGGTTTCAGGGAGGAGATGAGCCAGTCGGTACGATGTAGCAATGATGAAACATACAACTGTCCCCTAGTTCTTTAATGATGCCCCCCCACACACCCCGGCTATCATGATCCCAATTCTACCTTACAAATCTGGCTAGACCAGAGGCTGTACACTGGTACAGATAGGAACTGGAAACACAGGGAATCCGGGGCAGATGATCCCTTCAGGACCAGTGGTGTGAGTGGTGATACTGGGAGGGTGGAGGGAGGGTGGGTTGGAAAGGGAGAACCGATTACAAGGATCTACATGTGACCTCCTCCCTGGGGGACGGACCACAGAAAAGTGGGTGAAGGGAGACGTCAGACAGGGCAAGATATGACAAAATAATAATTTATAAATTATAAAAGGTTCATGAGGGAGGGGAAAAATGAGCTGATGTCAGGGGCTTAGGTGGAGAGCAAATGTTTTGAGAATGACGAGGGCAATGAATGTACAAATGTGCTTTACACAATTGATGTATGTATGGATTGCGATAAGACTTGTATAAGCCCCGAGGACCTAATGTCGGGGGTTTAAGTGGAGAGAAAATGTTTTGAGAAACGATGTACAAATGCGCTTTACACAATTGATGTGTGTATGGATTGGGATAACAGTTGTATGAGCCCCTAATAAAATGTTAAAAAAAAAAGAAACATATGTACAAACATGTTTGACACAATTGATGTATGGAATGTTATGAGCCCCCAATAAAATGAGACACTGGTTAGAAGAGTCACATTAAAGAATTCACTGCCCCTCCTGCATACTTCGAACTAAACCTTGCAATGTCCTCTTTGATGATGAATGCAACTCTGTTCCACTTGAGTTCGTCATTCCTAGTTTAGTAAACCTACGATTATCTGATTTAAAATAGCCCCTTTCATTTCATCTCAGGGTCTAAGATGTCAATCTTCATCTTTTCCATTTCATTTTTGACAACTCCCAGTGTTCCTAGATGCATACATTCCCTGTTCCAATTAATAATGGATGTTTCCCAGTTCCTTCTCCATAACACATCAGCAAAGGAGGGTCGCCGCAGCTGGACTCCATCTCCATCTTAAAGGTCAACTCTATTCTGAAGAAGCTGCTCTTCTGCAGTCTTATTCTGAGTGCCTTCCGACCTGAGGAGCCCATCTCCCACTCTGGGTCTAATCGCGCTCCCTGGCTGTTCAGAACGATTGCAGTGGCTGATGCCTCCGAAATGGGCCCGACTCCTTCTTCCTAGTCTGTTCTTACTCGGCAAGCTCCGCTGACACCTGCTCACCATGGTGACCGTATTTGATATTTGAAATACTGGTAGCATTGCTTCCAGAATCACAACACACACGACCCCACGTACCACAAACTGAAAGCCAAGTGATAGTCTAGAACAGGTCTGCAGGCTTTGGCGTGAGAGCCATATTTGGCTCTTTTGGTATGTGCAATGGCTCCAAAAGTATATTTTTAAATGTTTAAAATACATTATTCAGATAATGGTGATTTCATTTGCTTGTAAAAATATATTTATGGCTCCCAAATAGTTTTAAAATTGTTGTGAGAGGCAAGATTGGCTCTTTCATCTCCAAAGTTTGCTGACCAATGGTCTAGGACAGTGGTTCTCAACCTTCCTAATCCTGTGACCCTTTAATACAGTTTCTCATGTTGTGGTGACTCAACCACAAAATTATTTTGGTTGCTACTTCATAACTCTAATTTTGCTACTGTTATGAATCGGGTGACCCCTGTGGAAGGGTCATTTGATCCCCAAAGGGATCGCGACCCACAGGTTGAGAACCACTGGTCTAGGAAGATAAAATGAAAAAGTTATGAAGAGAGTACAGTGAACCCTCGCCACTTTGCGCTTCGACTTCCGCGGCTTCACTCTATCGCGGTTTTTGCGTAACAGCACCCACTGCCTACACCCGCTCCTTCAGAGGAAAAAGACGGCGACCCACCTGTAGAGTACATCCCTTAAGTCATTTCATAGGCTATTGATTACAGTATTTGTAAGAACTATGTATAATAAGACTGTATGTGAAATATGTAATACTGTAAACTAGATGCCATAAATAATATAATAAATAATAAATGACAATTGTAATGTCCAAAATGTTTTACTGTATTTTCCCTTTTTTGTTTAATAAATTGGGTAATATGAGTGTAATGGTGACTAAAGGGTGTTTTTTCATGTCCTCTATGCTCTAACTACGAAAATATTTGATTTACAAATAAGGAATCCTACTTCGTGGAATTTCATTTATCACAGTAGGGCCTAGAACTGATTAACCGCGATAAACGAGGGTTCACTGTATATTTGAAAATATAATATCTGAAAAATTTCCAGTACTGACACATAATAAATCCTCGATAGAGGGCACACAATGACTATTCAGAAGAAGCAAAAAAATCCACCTGAAGACAAATCAAAGCTCCCCCCAAAAAAAGAGTACAGACATTTAACATACTCAGAGATGAGATTGCCTACTAAAAAGTACAATTAAACTTACAGCATACTTCTGAATAGCAATAATGAAAACTAGAAGTCAGAGTAACATCCTCAAGTGATTAAGGGGTAAAAACAAAAATAAGAAGATAGATAACAACAAAGGTCAACGCCAGACACAGAGTCAACAAAAAAGCAAATGAGCCCAGGGCACCCACTTATTCAGGAAGTAAGCCACACTGCCAAGGAGAGGGCATCAGAGTTGTGACTTTAACTTAGGCATCTGACAACTGGGTGGCTCTTCATAGCAGATCCCTTTATGAAGTTGATTACATTTTATTAAGTGATAATAAAAGTTAGATGAGGAGGTCTAGAGACACCCCCTACACCATTTTCACAGATGACAATCCACAGAGCCAAGAACCATAATCCTGAGACTGCAGAATACTAAAGACAAAGATAATACCTTAAAAGGAAAATGAGGGGAACAGGAGGGCGGAAAAGAGGAGCTGATGCCCAGGGCTCAAACAAAGTACATGTTTAGGAAATGACGATGGCAACACATGTACAAAGATGCTTGATACAATCGATGCACAGAATGTTGTAAGAGCTGTAAGAGCCCCCAACAAAATGATTTTTAAAAAGTAAAGTGAGAAAGAGATTGATGAGAATTATTAGATGGGCGGCTGAGTTCTCAATAGCAACAATGGAAATCAGAGAATAGACAGATTTCAATATACTAGTTTTTAAAGCTGCCAAATTGAATGACAGCTCAGGCAAGGATATTCCCTAATAATGGAAGAGAAAGAAGCAGCCCACCAGCCAGGGGAACTTGGCTACTTTTACTGTTTGCCGCTTAGTGGAGCCATCGGGATCACAGATTCAGGCTGCCCTTATTTTCCCGGCTCTTGAGCATGTCAGTGGGGCAGATATGCTCAGCAATTGGCAGAATCCTGGCTTTGGCTCGCTAATCCATGAAATGAGAAAGAGCCCAGTAGAATTACCTTGAGCATCCTCTTTCAAATAAAAATCATCTTTAGGCTACTACATCTCAGTGGGCGGTGTAAGGGGGCAGGGCAAAAGGAGACAGGTGTTAGTCCCACCATTAAAGATGTAGGGATGGTTATTACTCTCAAAAAACAAAACCCAAACTCACTGCCCTATGGAGTGAGTTAATAACTGATGCAATGGTTTATAGGTGATATGGGGGTGGTGGGTAGGAGAAAGGGAGGGTGAGAGGATTGGGGGAGCAAACAATGAATGCGGAAGGGGAGGGAGCACTAGAACTGAATGTGATTGTACAACTCATTTTAAAAGAGATTTAACTATATATGAATACTGTATCCAAAAAAAAAGGAAGATAGAAACCAAACTTGGCCAATGGTTACCATACATAGGTGAAGGGGAAAGAGTTGTGTGGAGGCATTGAGTTTATGTCAATGATAGTAGAATAAATGGAAAAGGATATCAATAATGGTTGTACAACAAGAAGAGTATACTCAATGATGTTGAATTATACAACTAGAAACTGTGGAATTGGAGAATATTCTGTTGTGTATATTTTTGCCACAATTAGAGAAAAACAATAATCACATGAACAACAGTGACCACAAGGAAGAAAATGTTGTAGAATTGCAGTTGTACCACTCTTCCTGATACAATTGAATTGTACGACATGTGGATGAAGTGCTAATAAAACTCTGAAAAATAGAAACAAAACTAAAGAACACAGTTCTACTCTTGATTTTTACACGGGTGTAGCCAGGCACTGGAATCCACAGGCAACAAGCAACCAGTTTCTAGGGCTTAAACTTGCATTTCCAAATATGCCCTTCGGTGCATTAGCTTACTTTAACCACACCTTATCTAGAAGGGATGCAAATTTCCAAGAATCCTCCAAAAAACAAAACGAAACCCCTTAGCCCTCCAGCCCGCTCGGATTCACGGTGACTGTAAGACCGAGTAAACTGCCCCACAGGGTTACCAAGGCTGTCAATCTTGGAAGCGACTAGTGGCTGGGTGGCTATATTGGCAGCCAGGCGCTGGAACCACTGCACCACCAGGGCTCAAGAATCCTTCCCTCATAATCGTTTTTATTTCCCCCTAGACGCTGCCTGCGACTTTCACGTTCTGTCGGCGCACAAACTGGGTGAAGCGGGCTGGCAAAAAAGCCGCCGGCAGGTGGAGGGCTCAGAGCTCTGATCTTGTCTGTCCCGCAGACAGCATCCAACCCCGCCTGGGAATGGTTGGCCAGTCAAGGGGAGATGTGGAAAACGGTGACGTAAAGTTGACAGGGTGGAAATGTAAAGGAACAAGGTCACGGGCTCCGGTCCAAATCTTTAACTCAGGGTTCCAGGTTCACTCTCGGGTGCAGCTGGCGCCAGCGGCGGTAGGGCGACCGACTCTGGGTAAAGGTCGCCAGCTGAAAGCGTGGTAGCCAGGAGACGTCCAAGTGCGCACTCCCACCGAGGACGAAAGGTCATCCTCCAAGCCTATGACGTCAGCACCCAAGAACTAAGAGCTGGGGGAATGACACCCCGAATCCCACACCGCCAGACTCAGCGCCACCCAAGCCCAACATAGACGCATGCGCACAAGCCGGGGAGCGGGGGGGGGGGGGGGGGGAACGGGGGACGGGAGGGGGACGTCCACGCTTCCCGCACAACCTCGACTTACAGCGTCCATTGGCCTGTCGTAAAAGCCGGGCACGCGAAGCCCCGCAGGAAAGGGCACCCTCGGGCTACAACCTACTCTGCTAGCCTGCATGCGCGCGCAGGATGCGGACGCGAGCCCGGAAGACTGCAGCCAATGAGGCGCGGGTGACGTCACCGCGGAGCCGCCGGTCGAACCGCACGCCGCGGCGCGGGTGGGCGGAGCGAGCTTGGTTGCACCGACGCCGGTTCATAGGCGCGGGCCGGCGTGTCCTTGGACTTAGAGAGCGGGACATCCGGCCTCTGGACGGTACGGTCGAGTGGCGCGCGACGAGAGCGTGGTGAGCACTGGTCCCGGGAGCCTCGGCGGGGAAAAGGCGGGCCCGCTAGGGGCGCACGCTTAAACGCTGGGTGGGTGGGGGTCGCGTGGGAGGCTTCAGGCCCGCGCCCGGGGGGTCTCCCGCGTGGAGTCCGCGCGAGGCTGGCAGGCCTGGGAGTGACGACCCTGGGCCGTGGTCGGGCGGAGCCCAGTGGGCCAGGGTGTGATGGCCCCAGACCCCCTCGGGATACAGTCAGGGATTCAGCCGGAGCCTTGAAGGGCCTGGAGGCAGTTGGAAGTGGACCCGGCTGAGACGCCGGCCCTTAGATGGTCGGAGCGGAGGGACGACTAAACTGATGGCCCGGGCTAGGGAGGACGCGGAGAAGTGTGCGGCAAAGAGCAGGAAGTACGGGCTGGTCTCTTTTCCTGCCCAGACGCCCGGAAAGGCAGTTTCCATCCGTCTCCTTGACCCCATCAGGCGACCTCTTGAATGCGCCCGTGGGTCCCAGAGCTAAGGGTGGGGGTCCCTCCCCACCGCCCAGTGACCTATCAGTCAACAATTAGACCTGAACCGTTGGGATTTTGATGGTTTAGCATTCTTGTGCTTGAGGAAGAATTTACTCAGAGTTGTAGCACTTTGTGACCTTGACCTCATCCTTGATGCTGGACTTTGACCCAGGTTCCTTTTTTACTTATTTGGACTTTAACCTTACGCCTCCTACACTCTGAGAAATGAGGTTCTCCTTCTGAGTTGTGTTTGGAGGCTTGTGTAAGTGAATGTAAAGGTGCAGGCTTCATCCTGTTAATTAGTGCTCCAGAGAAGCCTTTGGAGCACAATGGGCTAATTGTACCAAACTGACTTAACATTTTAACAACCCTAAGGGCCCAACATCCCCATCCCCCACCGCCTGTTTCCTTCCATTTCATTCAAAGTACCTGCGATTGAAAGGACTGTTTGGGTGACAAAATTCAAAAGAGGAAACCATTCCTCCGTTCTGAAATGGTTAATGGCCATAGAATAGTGGCTGGCAATTAAGACCGATCATTGGTTTCTCTTACCTTTCTTATTTCAAGGACAGATCACTAACTTGAGCTTTGGGGGGTTTTTTGTTTTTGTTTTTCAGAATTCACGATGGCTGATACTGAGAAGGGCAAGAAAATTTTTGTTCAGAAGTGTGCCCAGTGCCACACTGTGGAAAAGGGGGGCAAACACAAGACTGGGCCAAACCTCCATGGTTTGT